GCACAAAAGGGCTGCCACCGATCGATGTGGCGTGCCGGGTAAACCGAGGCCGGACACGGACCATTAGGCCTCCACGAGACTTTATAGTCACACCTTGTTTTATTGTGGCGTCGAATGAGATTTGTAATTGGCCGAGTTAGTCGTTGAAGCGGGACGACTTGGCTGTCAGCGCGAAACTCGTTTGCAAGTGGAGCGCGAGAACTCTCTGCGGCTGGATTTCAATAACGCTGCTACCCCCTTCCGCCTCGCCGCCCGCCGCCCTACATCTAATCTGCGCAGAACAACCAGTGGAAACTAAGTTGTCATGGACATGTGCCGCTAGCTCGCGCTAGCTTTGCAAAGGGTGGCATTAAATCTGCAGGCGCGCGCCTCGGCCTCGTGGGCGTCTCTCTGGAAAAGGAGGGAAAACGCAAGCCATTGCCAACAACGAAAACGCGCATTCGTTATTCGTTAGCAAAAGCAGGGCAAAATTTTGCTTGGGACCCGCAATTTTTTGAAAGGAGGGGCGGGGGCTGAGGGTGAAAGCCTACCGCAACAGCCGAAGAGTCAAGAGAACGAAAATCTGTTTCCGGTTTGCGCACCTGGAAAACGGAGCGGGTGTGTTGCTACCGATAGTGTGTTGTCATTTCTCTTTCTCCTCTCACATCGATCAGAAAAGGGATGGATATGAGGCTCACACTCGTTTCCGGGGCTCAGGAACCAGTATTTTTAGTTTACCGTCCGTGAGTGAAAGGCGGTGATTCTGAATGATTGATTGTCCCCCCCCCCTCCCCGGGCCGCGCCTGTCGGTCCGTCACAGAGTCGCAACCAACTTGGCGACTGACCTCACGCTCGACAGTTAGACGGCGGCTTCAATGACCAGCACCAACAGGCAGAGATTCCGAACTGATGTTGTTTGGTCACTCTGTTTCTCCCGCAGCGGGGCGTCCGGAAGGGTGTGAGGGAGAGACAGCACTGTTCAGAAGTTCAGAAGCGAGCCGGGACGGTGGCCCGCACACAGCGATCGGCTTGGGTTTGTTTCGGAAGCCTAATGACGTCACCATTTGCATCGATCCCCAAAACGCCCTTCAATTTCAGCCGGAACTGTTCGGTGTAGTACTGTGAATGCCGGTGTTTTCTGTAAGAGCGCAACCGCACAGCGGGATGCCTACACGCAGAAAATTTATTTTTGATCAGATTTAGTCTTGATTTAGACGTGGTTTGCAGCAATCGAGCTTCAGAATTTGTAAGGTGCTAAATAATTTGCTTGTCTGTCCATCGCGCGTCCATGCTAATTTTTAAACAGAATTTCGAATTTTTTCACACGTAGGGGTAAGTGGGGTAAGAAAAGTACACGGTCAGAAAAGTGCACCCCGCCTCCTCCTGAGCCCTATTCGACTGATCTCGACATCCATTTAGAGGGAGTTCACTCACAATTTCAATATTCCAAGTTGAAATAGCTGGTCAGGATGGCACCACAAGAGTTTTACTCTTCTAACAGTGTACTTTTCTTCCCCAACTTACCCCAGAAGAATCCGCGAGGTCGCGGCACTGTATCACAGCCAGGCCTCAGCTTGTCTGCGACAGCCGCGGCGACATTCCTATCGCGACGCGATATTGCCAATACTTTCCATAGGCTCCCTGCATGCCTGGCATGGGGCGCGGGGCGGGCGGGCGCGGGCGGCCGAGCCCTGGGGCCAGCCCTGGGGCCAGCCCTGGGGCCAGCCCCGGGGCCCAGCCAAGCGCCCGGCCGGGTCGGGGACTGACTGCCAGGCGGGGCGAAACACCTCGCACTGCGGCAGGCCCCGCAGTCCCCGCACGCCCCGCAGTGGGGCAGGGCCCGGCAGGCACACGCGGCCCCGCCAAGGCCCCGCGAGTGCACGTCACTGATAACCGGAGAGGGATGGCACTGTGCTTGCGGTGTCCGGGCCGCGCCGGCCGCGTCGGGGGACACTTTTAAATCGCGCACCTGCGGCCCGTCCCCGCCGCCGCAGCGCACCGCCCCCACCCCGTCGTCGCGAACGTCATTTCGGGCCGCCCCTCCTCGGCGCGCCTCGTGTATCGCGGAGTTGGCGGTGCAGCCTCCCCGCCCAATCGGGCTTATTGCGTCCCTTTGAGGCGGCCGAGGCGCCCCCGTGCAGGAAGGCGGTGGCCTGGCGGTGGCCTCGCCTCGCCACGCCGTTGTTGCAGTTCGAGAACTCTTGGCCCGGAGCCCCGCACTGCACCAGAGACGCCACCACTCGCAGAGTGGCGGTGCACAGCAGGGGAGGAGGGAAAAGTGGCGCCGCGGCAGTCGCCAGGTCGGCGTCGGGGACGGGCCGGCGAGCAATAAGGGCTCGGACGAACCTTGGAACATTCCGCCTTAATGGAGCGCGGCCAGGACGCCGACGGCGTCACGCGGCGGCCAGGACGGGAGGGACATCCATCAGGCTGGGTGCCTGGAGGACCGCGTCGAGCACGGCGCGCTCGGCGGCCGAGTGCCGCGGATGCATCACGAAGCCGCCTTAATCTACGCCAGCCAGTCCAGCGCGACAGCGGCGCGTTGGGGCGCGGTGGGGTGGGGTGGGGTGGGGTGGGGTGGGGCAGGGCAGGGCAGGGCAGGGCAGGGCAGGGCAGGGCAGGGCAGGGCGGGCCTTGGCCTAGGCCGGGCGTGACCCGACGCACTAAACAGCCCGGCCACTCCGCACCCCATCCCCCACCCCCGGCGAAAATAACACGGCTCCAGCCAGCCCTGGCGGCCCTGGCGGCGGCGGCCCTGGCCCTGGACAGCCCCCACACCTTCCGAGACGCGGCACCGCGGCCGGCGCGTGTGCTCCGTCAGCGGGAGCAGGGACCACCAGTGGGGCCCACCATTGGCATGGGGTCAAAATCTGCCAGGGTGAACTGAGACAGGTCCAAGAGAGGACCCGGTCCAGGGTTGAGACGTAGTAAAAGGAAACATTTTAAATGTGACTACTCCTCCAGACAGCGCGGCTGGGGTGGGGGCTTTTACGAGGCGAGGCGGGCGGCAGCGGCGGCAGTGGACCCGAAGGTTAACGCCCCCTTTACGCGGTGAGGTCATCGCTGTAGTCTGCCGACAAGATGTCCCTAATCCGGCGTCAGGCCTGGAGCCTTGCCTGGAGCCCCACCCCCCAGGGCCGCAGTAAAGGGCCGGGGCGGCCGGGGCGAGGCGAGGGTGCGCACCTGTGCGTGCAGCAGCGGCCAGTCGGCGGCCGGGGCGAGGCGAGGGTGCGCACCTGTGCGTGCAGCAGCGGCCAGTCGGCGGCCGGCGAGGCGCGAAAAGGCCGCCAAGTCGAGACAAACCCGCAGCCACGGCAGCAACAGGCGGCCGCGGGCCGCGCACCAGATTTCCATCTCCACATCCGGGGCCGGGGAAGAGACAGCCCCGCCAGCCCCGAGCAAGCCATTAGTGTGTTGCGTTGCCAAACGAGGGGCCCTTCCCTCCCAGGCCCTCGGCCGGGCCTCGGCCAGGCCCTTCGCAGCGTCATTGTCTTTTCAACGAGTCGGCGGCCGCCTCGGCGCCTCGAGCGGCAGCCCTCCAGTGCCCTCCAGCCCCGACTCGCCAGGGCGGCCAGGGCAGCCAGGGCGGCGGAGAAGCAATACAGAAGTCGCCGACGCTGTCTCTCCCTCCCCCCACTCCTCCTTTCCTCTTTCAAACCAGACAGGGGCTGAGGTATCGGCTCTCGTCCTTTGTATAAACGGCCCTTCTCAATCCACTCAACTTTGCGTTGTGTCACAGACTTCTCTCCCAGGGGACTGTATTCGAAAGAAGACGGGACCAATAAACGTACTTCTTTATTACGCGTTTGAACTCTTTTTTCTTTCGGGAAGTTTAGATCGTTCGATACTGCGCCAGCCAATTACCTATCAAATTAAGCTTCCGCATGCGAAAATATGATAAAAATTTTGAAAGTTAAATATGCATAGTTTCTATGCATGTGGTCGCCCCACAAAAAATTTACCTGTTTTTTTTTTTTTTTAAATTAAAAATGAGTGTCCCTGAGGAGGCCTGTGCTCTGCCTGTGCTTTCCTCCTTCGCACCTTCCCGCCACAGTGTAAGGGTCTCGGGCCGGTTTGGGGCGGTGCGGTGGGCCTTGCGGTGGGCCTTGCGGTGGGCCTTGCGGTGTGCGGTGATGATGATACTCGTGGGAGCGGACATACACGAGGAGAAAGCGACGATCCGCGAAATCGGCCGTCGGAGCGGCAGCGGCGGCGGCAGCGGCGGCAGCGGCGGCAACCCACCGCCCGGCCCGGCCCGGGGCAGGTCTGGCCGTCTGGCCGGTCGAACCCCGAGGCTGCCAAGCTGCCGAGGCAGAGGGTGATAATTCAACTTGGAGAAGTCCGTCTCATCCGAGCAAGCGGCAGCTCGCGGCAGCAGAAGCGAGGAGCAGGAGAGAGAGAGAGAGAGAGAGAGAGAGAGAGAGAGAGAGAGAGAGAGAGAGAGGAGAGAAGAGAGGAGAGAGAGAAGTAGAGAGAGAAGTAGAGAGGGAGAGAGAAGTAGAGAGAGAGAGAGAGAGAGAGAGAGAGAGAGGGAGAGAGAAGTAGAGAGAGAAGTAGAGAGGGAGAGAGAAGTAGAGAGAGAGAGAGGGAAGGAGATGGGGAGAGGGATTGCAGAGCGCCACCGCCCCCTCCCCTCCCCTATCAGCTCGGCGATAATTCAAGCGCCGATAGCGATGGATCTGCCGGAGAAAAGGGCGCGAAACAAAGGCGCGCGTCAAAACTGTTCGGACATGGCACAACAATGTGAAGCTGTCGACACGCACGGCGCCGCCCCCGGCCCGACTTCGACCCGCGGGACCCGCATCGCGTGTACCCTCGCTGTTACTTTCCGGTCGGAAACCAATCGCACTGTCGATTCTCTCGCGTCTTTTTCCGAGTCAGCGTTGAGGCTTGAGTTTCGTTGGCGCAACAGTGGCCTTGCCGGGTGTCGGATGCCACTGGCTGTGTGTGTGTGTCTATCTGTCTGTGTGAGGCTGGATGTTGGTGATGTAATCGACGTCTTGGCCTTTCTGTGTCTGCAGGTACATGGCCATCATGTACCCGCTGCGCCGGCGGCTGGGCAAGCGGACCACGCTGGGCCTGGCGCTGGGCATCTGGGTGGTGGGGTCCGCCATGTCCTCGCCCATGCTGTTCTACCAGACCACGGACGTGGTGGACGGCGACCGCGTGCTGTGCTACGCCGAGTGGCCCGACGGCCCCACCACGCGCAGCCACCAGGAATACGTGTAAGTCGTCCACCGCCAGACGGACTCTCGTCTTGCAGTGTGCAGGTGCGCGATTGCCTGTGCGCTTCGAGAAGAGCGTGTGGAAAACCGTAAGCTGCGCTTGAATGAAGCGTGACGTCACGCCTTTTTCCAGTGTCGTGTTCCCTCGAGGGGGTATGCACTCGCGTAATAGTCGGTTCACTCTATCTGTAATAGCTTGCGTAATAATACGCGTAATAGTCGCGTAATAGCCCAAATTGTCAAAATTTTATCAATTTTGGTGTGTTTTAGGCCGTTTTTAGCTAAATTCCGATTAATTTGTGGCGTAATAGAGCGTAATAGCGTAATAGTCGGTACACAGGTTCAGAGAGCGCATACCCCCTCGTGTTCCCTTGTGTTTTTTTTTTTTTGCCGCGTGTTGCGCGCGTCATGTTGCAGCCGCCGGCAGAGCGCGTCTGATTCCTTTGTTGGTTCCCTCCCACTCGACGCAGGTACAACGTCGTGTTCATGGTGGTGACCTACTTCGTGCCCATCACGCTCATGGGCTACGCCTACCTGCGCGTCGGCATCGAGCTCTGGGGCAGCCAGAGCATCGGGGAGTGCACCCAGCGCCAGCTGCAGAACATCCAGAGCAAGAGGCGGGTGAGTACCGCAGTGGCGGCCGAGCGGCAAGCGCAGCGGAGGGCGGAGGCCCCTCGAGCGGCCTATGCTGCCTCGTCGGTCGGTAATTGATTAAGTCGAAGGCTCGCCGGAGGACCTGCCGACTAATATCCGCAATTAATTGAGGCGCGAGGGCCGAAAAAGAGGCAACGAAACGGAGAGTCGCCTCGACGCACCGCTTCGCTAGGCGCCACGCCGCGCCCTGGCCGCGCCGCGCCACGGCCATTAGCACAGCCTCGAGCACGGCCAGCAGACGCTCTTTGCAAATCCCGGCATAATACAGCCGGGGTCGCTTTCGTCGCGCTGTCTCCCTCGCACTCGTGGGGCGTTCCCTACGGGCCCTACGGGTGCGAGAGAGAGAGAGAGAGAGAGCGACGAAACCGACTCTCGGAATCAGTCTGCAGGATCGAGGCCCAGTGCCGCACGGCAGGCCAGCGCGAATTTCCCTTTCAAATGTTAATTTCGCTCGTCGCCTTTAAGGCGCTAATACGCTGTCCGGCCTGGCAGGGGGAGGGGGGGGGGGCGGGGGCGCTTGAGGTGATCCATCTACAAGTAAGTGCGCGTGGCTGCACCCCCCTCCGCCTCCGTCCGTTCTGCGGGGGCGTCGTAAACCGATGGCCCGTGCCGTATTGACCCGCACCGGGTCAGCCCGTAAGTTAGTTTGCTGCTTGAGAGCCGCAGCCAGCAGCGCGGTGGAGAAGGGGGGGGGGGGCAACTCGATCGGCGAGATCCGCTCGGAATCCACTGTGACCCGGGCGGCATTCCGGGGCGGGGCGGGGCGGCGCGGGGCGGTCAAGTGCTGGATACTGCATGCATTTGTTCCCGCTCACTTTTCCGAGGGGCGGGAAGGGAAAAACCTCCCCTCGGCCACGGACCGCGGTTCGGCGCGGCGCGGCGAGTCAGCCCGTCGCCGCCTGGTCGCCGCGCCTCGCCGTCACGCCGCTTTCTTATGGGCGCCGCCATGAGCCCATATGAAAAAGAAAGGCTCCAAAAACAGCCCGAGCGGGGGCTATGTCCAAAAACGGTTCCACCGGACTGGTCCGGCTGACATCCAGAATGTTAGAAACCCGGGCAAGGTTTCGGGTGTTGTCCGACGACTAGATTCGGACTCTTTTCGGACTAACCCGAAGCAAGGCCGGCGAGCAGGGTGGGCTGCTCCCCGCCCCCCCCAAACCCTTCCCCTCCCTCCCAAAAACCCCCCTCTCCTCCCTTCGGAATCCCCTCCCCCCCTCTGCAAGTGCAGTGCAGGCAACACTGCAAAGCCGGTGCACTTGGCAAGCCGTTTTGAATGTTGAAAATTGGCAAGCCTGGACCTGAAATACTTCCGAGTTCGCAAAATTTGGGCATTGCTGGCGGCCGAAGCGCTAAGTTTGGGCAAACTGGAAGATTTCAGGTCAGGGTTGCCAATGTTTAGCATTCAAAACGGCGTGCCACTTTTGTGGCAGGCAAACTTGGCCCCGGATTTGAACTTACGATAGTAATCAAGTAGTTGATATTTTGGATAAAAAAATTTCCGATGGAAAGCACTTTGGGGACGAGAGTGCACGGGGAAAGGCGAATTAAATGATACACCTCCCCCTCGCACCCCCCGTCCCTTTAGTGTTGGGAGATGCACACAGAACAGCAAGCGTAGAGTCACTAGCGTCCAAAACGGTCATCAGCCAAAAAAATTTTCAAACAAAAAACACACTTCTTTCCGCCCAAACTGGCTCGTTCCCAGCACAAGGCTGCGCAAGGCTGCAGCGCGCGGAGGCGACATGGCTTCAGCGCGCCGAGCGAGTGGACTCTGACGCAGGCAAACGCGATGCGTGCACCTTGGAGGGCAGCTGGAGACTGACGTTTTGCGTGCCGAGGCGGCCAAAACTTTCCGAGTTGCCGAAGGATTAAGGCTCCCCTCCTGGCCGAACCAATCAGAGAGCGCCCCCCGACCGGTGGGAAGCGGGATATCCTACTCCCGGATTTAGTTACTCCCCAGTACACCATCCCCAGGGACAATGTACTCCCCCCTTAGGGAGAGTACACCATCCCTGGGGATAGTGTACTCCCCCACCTCGAGAGGGGGGGGGTACATTGACCCTAGGGATAGTTACTCCCCCGGGAGTACACTATCCCTAGAGTGAAGGTACTCCCCCTCTCTTGAGGGGGGAGTACATTGGCCCTAGGGGTGGGTACCCCCACCAGCAGGGGAGTACTTGGTCCCTAGGGATACTCCCCCAAATGGCAGACGTCATAGGGCAGATGCCGTTGTCGGGTTGGTTGGGTTGGGTTTTTCCCTTTCATCGACGGGAAAGGGTACTTAATATTCTAAATCTAAACTGTCCAACCCCAAACCTAACCAAACCTAACGGGCTCGGGATAGATTTACTCTACTCGCGAGGATGTTACCCTACTCTCGACAGATATTATAATCAAACATAATGGTCCCAAAAAAATCCTAACCTAACGGGCTCCTCACAAACTCAAGGGCGCCGGAAGGGGGGTGCGGGGGGGGGGGGGGGGGGGGGGGGGGGGGGGGGACTTGCCCCCCCCCAAAAATTTGGGGGGGGGGGCATCGCCCCCCCCACTTTCAGACACTAAATTGCCATTTTGAGCTCGAAAAAAGAAAAAAAATATAGCCAAAATCGCAAATTTTTTGATTTTTGGCTTCTTGCTCGCTTCGCTCGCAGGTTTTCTAAATTTTTCCCCCATTATTTTGCCGTTTGGCTCGCTTCGCCCCCCAATAAAGCGTGTGATTAAGCTCTAAAAATAGCAAAAATTGTGTTAAAGTCTAGAATTGTGTGAATTTTCGCTTTAAGCTCGCTTTTTCTTTGGGGGATTTGGAACACTATTAGAGAAGTCTAAACCCTATGGGGTTACCCCTTAACGGTAGGCAACCCCAAAAATTTTCATAAAATTTCGCCCCCCCCCCCCCCCCCCCACCCCCCCCAAACCCCCACCACCAACCCCCACCACCCGAAAATACTTCCCGGGGGCCCAGGACGCTGGACAGCCCCGCTGTTTTAGGCTGGCACAGCCTCGCTGTTTGACGCTGGCACAGCCCCGCTGTTTGACGCTGGCACAGCCTCGCTGTTTTAGGGTGGCACAGCCTCGCTGTGTGAGGCTGGCACAGCCCCGCTGTGTGAGGCTGGCACAGCCTCGCTTTTGTGAGTTTGGCCAGCTTCGCTTTGTGAGGCTGGCACAGCCTCGCTGTTTTGGGGGTGGCACAGCCTCGCTGTTTGACGCTGGGACAGCCTCGCTGTTTGACGCTGGCACAGCCGCGTTTGGGCGCTGGCACAGCTCGCTGTTGACGCTGGCACAGCCTCGCTGTTTGACGCTGGCACAGCCTCGCTTTTGTTTAGGCTGGCACTCCCCGCTGTTTGACGCTGGCACAGCCTCGCTGTTTGACGCTGGCAAAAGCCTCGCTGTTTGACGCTGGCACAGCCTCGTGTTTGACGCTGGCACAGGGTCGCTGGTTTTACGCTGGCACAGCGTGGCGTTTGACGGGCCCCAGGCC